TATACACGCAGCCCCTGGCCCCTTATGGTGACAGGAAGTACCAGTAGGGCTAAATTCACAAGCTTCAGCCGCTCATCAACCCACACCTCCCTCGATACACGCGGTCAAACCGCGGGCAAGTTCCCCATCCACCGAGTGACGATGCATTCTCCTACCGGGCACTCTACTCTTCCACCGGTACCCCGGATCCCTTTTCTATAACGGCTAGCAGCGCCCATGATGGATCGGTGTGTATTTTATTCCCAACTTCATCGAGGCTCCAGCGGACGGGAAATCAGCGACAGGCGCTGACAGCATGCAATAGCCTCAAATGGCTGCGATTACCATTATACTCGTTAGACTAATCTCCTGCCGTTACAGGACCCTAATCATTTCTAATTATTTTGCACTTTTTCTTCCCCTGCTACATCTCCGATCGAGACGTAATCTTCGCCTCAACGGAGCAGGGCTGGCGAATTAGTTTGGCTAGGCCTGTTGTAAAACAAGGAGAGAGAGACTGCAGTTAGTAATGAGCCGCTCCCCTCCTCCCCTATACCGCCCCGGGCGCTTCCACTATTACATGATGTCTGCTTCAACCATCAAAAACACGGACTTGAAACTGTATATCACACGGGCTAATCGAAGCGAGCGCGGCGTTTGCTGCCCCGTAAGTATCGGCCACATTTTCTCGAAATTGGAAAAATAATTACTAGGAATAGGATCCCATTTAAACGTCAATTCCAAGATGAAATCTTTTATCGGCGTAAGGGTATACTCTTCGGCTCGGACTTGGCGAAGATTGGAAAGCCAAACTGCAAGGGAGGATTTTATTGTGCGAGGCCGGAGGGAGCTATAATGCAACCGTGTTATAGGTGAACATTGAGGCCAAAATAAAGGCATAATATAAAGAGTGTTTATACTTTGATGGTAATCATTCGTCGAGTTCTAGTGAAAAAGCATACATGGACTATAGGAACTTATTGTATCATGGATTCCTTGATAATCACCAATGTCTATGTTAAATTAGGTTCTGTTGTGTAGCATTTTAGCTTAAACACGAAAACCATTTCATACAATGTTAAAATGATGAATATGGTTTAAAACCTCTTTAAAATATTTCTAAATCTGACTGCTAGATGTGTAACGTGGTAGCGACTGAAAAGAAAGTCCAAGTTGTTTGAAACAATGTAAATGTTGTAATGTATAGCGAGAGCCACTATGTCCTTATAAAATCACTAAACTAGTAGACTTGACACAAGCCACAGTTGTTGACCTGCAATGTTTTCGTGGCAACTAGCCAATCTCTACAGCCGCTTCCTCAAAAACAGCCCAGTCCACCCGTAATTAAGACAAAGCGATAGCCAATAGAAAAATGACTATTGTTCGAAATTATCTTACCGAATGATTAGCCACACGATGAATTAAGTAAATCCAAAGTGCCTCGACCCTCCTGTGCCAGCAGAGTGGGGGTTGTAAGCGCGCATTACGGCGACAAGTTACACAAATTGATATTGATCGTAGATACATGACGATTAGCCAGCGAAAAAGGAGTCATAAACCCTGAAATTAATTTCACACGCCTGGTAACGGTGAACACATCAGCACGGACTGGTCCCTGTCTCCCTTGATTATTCCGCCCGTGTAACACGCGGGGAGTATCACTTTAAACAATATGTCGCAAGTCAAAGAGTAATCCGTCAGGGGAGATGCTCGCCGAGCAAGAGATGTGTCTGGAACGACAGGCAAGCTCTTTGCCTAATGAGAACCACGAAATATTTAGACAGGCGATTTGAGCAAGACAATCTCAGAAAGCTAGAATTGAAATTGATGGCCGGAGCTCATCCTGCTCTGTCATAAAATAGTAGGCGGTGCCGGACGCTTGTGTGGTTATGGTGGATGCGCGGTCAAGTTGAGTGTTATTCTGATGGGCTGGGGCTTATCCTAAGCAATTATTTAATATTAATTTTAAAAAGCAGCTCTTTAATGTTTGTCTTTATTTCCTAAAACAAAACTGAAGGCTGTTAATTTAGAGAGTAACTTTCCTCCGTCATATCAGCCTTGTATAATAATTTGATAATATAAGGTCATTTTGTTTATCTTTAAGTCTTATCGAAAATGAGGCTCCCTATTTTTTGGGGGAAAATAGCGTGAATCTTTTTTAACTTGCAAAGAACAATAAAAACAATTACGCGCTTGTGGTACACCATTCTTTAGACTTTTGCTAATCATGGTGGCGGTAAGTGCTCTATTTTTTTCATGGTCCTAAAGGCGCAAGCCTAATGTCCTCTTGGTACCTCATTGACTGACTGACTCCTCGACTGACTGACTCCCCCTTGTAAATTTGACTGTTACATATTTACTGACTGTCACTGTTGACTTACACTGGCCTACGAGGCTTGCCTATAGCATCTATTGTGTGAACCATAATTATGTTTGTCTTCCCATTGCTTTTTTCCCCTAGCAATTTGAAAGTAACTCAATTTTGAATGAGGCATCGAACCAAACAAATCTACCGACGTTAAGCTATTGACTTAGTTCTCTACAAAATTCGAAATATTAGCTGCCACTCAATAATTCGGCTCACGCAGGGCGGGTTATTTGTGCACAAAATGAAAACCAGAGGGATGCAGACGTCCAAAATTGGAAAAAAATGTAGTTTTTTTCGATAAAACAAAACATATACATGTACATTGAAAAGTCGTTATAGAAGAAAAACAGATCAATTTTTTTGAAGAGTATGAAGTAGGCCTATGCATCTTTAAAATGTCATAATTTGCCATGTGCTTATAACGTACCATTTAGTCTTTAAGATCGAGTTTGTGACTTGAATACATTATGAAACGATTCAGTTAATCGCTTGCAGTGTAACTCTGGATTAATGTCATTTTCCTGTTGGGCTTAAATGTTGCGCGCGGCGTGCCATGCACATCTACGTGACGCGCTGCACAAACAACGGAAAATCATGTGCAAAATGGTGCTTGAATGAGTTAATGACGTCATGCCACGTTCTAAACCAATAACCAATCTACTATGTAACAAACATGAATGCTTTAAAGTTTTTTTCCCTAAAAATGCGTTAACAGATTAAAGAAACAACACAAACACTGTTTAGTATATATTGCAGGCCAACCTAGATGATAAGTCAACGGAATATCGATATCTTTGATATCTGAGCATATCGAGTGATTAATTATGCAAAAAAAAGACTGCGTTTGGACCTCGAGATTCTGACCATTCAGCGGGCGCCTTGCATACGGGTCCTCCGTAACCCGCTGTTGTATTACAAAAACGGTCAGCCCAAATTGACCAATCAACAGCTAAGTCCACATTTCTGATTGAAATGACGTCACATTGGAATAAAGTCAAATCAGATTGGCCGGCGCGCGGGGTCGCATACGATGTGCATGTTTCTGTTCCTTGCTCTATGCTTAGATATATCAGACGTTGGTTACCGAGAGGACTCCGTTACTAAGAAATGATTAGAGATTTGATAACAGATTTCATAATGTATTCAAGTCACAACCTTGATTGTATAAACTAAGTTACTGGCATGTTATAAGCACATGGGAAATTACGACAATTTAAGATACACACCTCAATGGTAGATACTAACGTACTTGATATGTACAGCGATATCATTGTTGTACGTTGTGTTGATCATTCTTTTGAATGTTTTATTTCTTTATTCTGGTTCATGAAACCAAGGATTCCTCAAAAGTGCCCCGGTGGCTCAAAAGCCTGCATGAAGAAACCTGTGGAGAGGAGACAATGAGAAGAAATCATATACAGTCTTATCAGAGTCGGGAGGAAACCCCAGAAGAATATTCTGAGCAAAACCCACGGAATCAGGTACGGACTGAAAACCCAATCCACATGTGGTCCGGGCAGGAATCGAACCCCGACCACAGCGATGGAAGGCGAGGAAAGTAACTACAGCGCCAACCTGACTCATATAGTCGACGGCCAGCGGTACACTTATAGTTTGAGAGGATTCGTTTCGTAATCGAGCATAAAATCTGGAAGGCGGTATTTTCTGGTCGTGAAAACGAGAGGACAAACAGCCAATTATCAAACACTCCATTAAAAAAAACCCCGTTTCATCGTCTAAAAATTGCCCGAGTCGTGTACTTAACATAAAGGGCCCTGGGCCTAGGATGTCCAGACGGTTTTTGTGTTAAGGTTTTGTTTTTCTCTCCCGACGAGGGATTGAGTTTCATCTCGGCGCGTCATCTGAGCTTGTTAAACGGCCCATCTTCCAGGGGCAGTGCGCTGCTAATCTCGACTGGTTGTGTGTGTGTTGTCATCAGGTGCATATGGCCCAATTGGGTTCCGGATCCCTGTAAGCACTTCCCCATTCCGGATATCGAAAAGAAAGAAACAGCCCGTAGATGTATCATTATCACTCGGATTTCTGTAAGTGCACGGTCATTAAAAAAATGGAAAGTGGCGAGTCGGGATGAAGAAATCAACGATGAATAATCGGAGCTCATCTGGTTTGCAATACTCATCGGAAATCAACCGGTTGGTATTGTGTTTTCCGAGTGCTTGCAATACACTTAAGGACGCAAGAAATTGCCTCTTATGGGGTATACAGCTGTGCAGTGCATCTACGATGACTCTACACCAAGCCTGGTTTTTATATTTATGAGTGTCGCAAAAAATAATACAGCATTATGAGAGTGGTATCGTATCGGGCCGGTGACGTTGTGAATAAAAAAAGATCAGATTGATCGGAGCCGCTTGGTTGGTCAATTGGCTGGTCGGTCGGTCGGTCGGTCGGGTCGGTCGGAACATTTTTATAATACATGTACATTGTAGTTCAATTACTGCATAAAAAAAACCCAATTTACTATAGGTACTTTCAAAAGTTGAGTTTCTTTTTAGAAACTGGGTATTTCTTTACACAAATAAACGAATCAGACTGGCTCTTGCTTTGGGGGTGGGGTGGTGGTGAGACAAAGTATTTTAGAGGGTTAAGGCCTTTTCTCAACCATGTAATAACTAGGGCCGGTGCACATACCTTCCAGTTGAATTAGACATTTTATTCACGAACATAAACTTACAATTAATGTGTTTCAACAAACAACTTCTTATTAACGTTTGTATGTGATCTCCACTCACAGATGACTTGGGATATTCACTTGAAATTCACAGATTATGCAGGTTTCTGGAATGTCAGCCTCAAAGAAAGTTAAAAACTATTAATAAACTATCACCCACATTGTCGTGTGGGTGTTTGCATGAACAACTTAAATTAGACGATTTTTACCTAGCCCCTCGAAAGACCCAAATATAATGAAATAAATACTACAAATTAACATCGTTATATTCAGAACATCTTTAGTTTATGTACATCACTGTCCTCAACACATCACATGTGCGATCACTGTGTCATCTTAAAATAATTATGTCGACATTTAACATGTATTTACACAAAAACCATTAAGTGATGTCTTCGCGTAGACAACATTGCACTAAGTGGACACACCACCAATCGTTATTTCATAGTAATATCGTATACATATGCTTTGTTGTGTCCTCCCACATTGTGGATGCATTCAAGGAGATTGTGTCGGTGGGTGTGTTGTCTTGGTGTTCAGTTAGTGTTAAGTGGCAATGCTTGGCACTGAGGTCCGGACTGGTACCGACGTTGGTGCTGATGATAGGTGCTGGAAATGTGGGGAATAAGACACGGGGAACTGGAGAAGGTGGTGCCGGGATAAGGCCCCGGTCTCAGAGTCTGCGTGTGTGCCTCTGGTGGCCGAGGATGCGTTCTCGTGGTATAAGATGGGTACCCGGACCATCCTCTGAGCTGCTTGTGCCTGGGCTTGGACCTGAGCGTGAGCCACGTGAGCCATGTTAGCTGCCTCTAACTCAGCTGCCATCTGTCGCTTCCACTTGTTCCTCCGATTCTGGAACCAGATCTTGACTTGCGTCTCCGTCAGGTGCAGGGATGCGGCCAGCCCGGCTCGCTCGGAGCTGGACAGGTACCGCTTCATGTCGAATGTCGTCTCCAGCTGGAACACCTGACTACGGGAGAACACCGTGCGAGTCTTCTTCTTCTTCTTGCGCTGGCCCAATTCGCCCCCGTCTCCCACGGACTTTTTGCCGGTGTCGCTGTCCACGTCGCTGACTCGATCGTCGGTCTGGTCGGGGCTGTGGGTGCGGCTGGGTGACTGAGAGCCGCTGATTGACTTGGGGGAGTTTGGAGGGGAAGCCTGGTGGATGCTTGGTGGTGTTGGGCGGGGGAAAGACGGCTGGTGCATCAGTGCATCTGGAGGGAAGGAAACGGACCAAACAAAGAACAGTGTTAGAAATTGAAAATTTACATCAGTGAGAGACTTTTGTGAAAAATGTTATTTTGAGAAACAAAAATGTAAATTGAACCAGATAAAAAAAATGGGTTTAAGTTTGGAAATGAACTGTTATGGACGGGCTATCTCTTCAAATTTTATTTAATGTGTGAAGATTTATGATTTGTATGGTGGCTGTTCGTATTTTTGTTCAAATAAAAATTAAGAATTTATGAAATGTAAAATTTCATATATCCCCTTTAATGCTGAAGGTTAATATATTTTTTAGAGACATCATTTGAGTATTTATGTTCTTGTTCTTGTTTCAATATATGCTTTAAGTCTTTAGTTTCAATTCATAACAGTCCGCGAGATGTCCATCAAGATCTTTTATATAAATAAATTCATTATTTGAATGCTGTTTTTATAATGGAAGGACATTGGAGCCCTTTGACGCACAAGGGCTCGTTAGGAATACACCTGTTTTTCCTCTTCTTTTTCAGGTGGAACATGAAGTTGACTTAAACTTAAAGGTTTTTTTTTTTTAAATACAATTCGCCAAGCTAACTTTCAATCATAAGTCTTCATTTTCAACCACCCAAGAGCACAAAACAACAAACTCGGAAGATAATTAAAAAATATTTAGAAAAAGGCACTCATATAACATTATAGCGATTTGATGTAAATGGTTTCAATTGACCAGAAACCTGAAAAAGTCTCCGGAAATGCGAACATCTATTACTGAAAACTCTGAACACTCCGAAGAGTGGCATGTTTGTCAGGCAACAACAAACTTCCACCAGTCAGGATCGTTGGATTCGGGAAACGATGAAATTAGAAAAAAAAGTTATTGGAATTGTTTTTGAACGCGAGTAAAGCGGCGTGCTCGCAGAGATGTTGAAAGGAGTGTGCAAGAAAACCAAAAAAAAAGAGAGTTCGAAATAACGTCAAATGACGTCAAATTTCACTTGAAAAAAAATTGAACGAATACGAGAGAGGAAACCTGACGTGACATCAGTCCAGTACAAAATATACCTTCAGTGTCTCATTAAAAGTCCTAATGCGCTCTGATACGAGGTGAATAGAAGAGATTCATTTGCGGCTTATTTTTTTGTAACAAGTGTTTCAAACTTTATTTCATTTATATTTTACCGGCTGCCACTTTGCTGAAAGATTGCAACAACACTGACATTATTGTTGCCATCTTAGAGAAAACAAAGAAGAAACAACCGAATTCGAGTTAATAACTGAAGATTCTTACGATGCTTTCCAATATATTAAAAATCCTGTTTTAGGTGGGCATTTGTTGCTAATTTATCATTAAAGTTTTTTTTTATTTACAGTGAATATGTATCCACGGTAACCACAAAAATGTTCACAAAGCACACAAGTGGGACGAAAAAAACACACTTCGAATTTTGAAAAAGAAGTCTCCTAGTTTGTCTCTCAGTAAAACTAATTACAACAAATTTTTCGCCAAAGGGACCTTATCAATGATCTTCTATTAAATTGACGTCGAACGAAAATAAAGTTAAAAATGAATGAAATTTGAACTAAGATGTCATAATTGTCTGTGTTTGAATTGTTGTCTATATAGCAACCAATGACCGATTTTTAAATGGTTAACATTATGCTTTTACAGCTATGGTCAGGCAATTCTGCAGTGGCGTCATTAAGATCGAATTGAGTGTCAACGGATCTAAACTAAATTCAAAAAGTTTAACTTGGAAAATGAATCGCTAGTGATCTTCAAGTAATAATCTTCAGATACTTTTTTTTTTTTTTTTTAGATTACTACAATCAAGCTAAACAATTAGAAAACAGTTAGAGAAGTAATGATATTCAGGAACGTTTTAGAAAACTACAATCAAGCTAGAGAATTAGACAAAAAATAGAAAAGATGACTTTGACTTACTTTCATATGCGTACTGAAGATACGCGTTAGCGTGCAGCCAGGGGTACCAGGGTCCAGGAGTGAAAGGCGCCGCCGGTGCTAGGTGGAAATCCCGCCGGGTAAGATCGTGCGTCACCCCGGTAGCCCTCTCCTCTGTCTCTCGGTCCGGCTTGTGGAGTTGAGGAACATCCCGGCTTGATACGATTACAGCGGCCGTCGTAGAGGCGTCCTCGCACGGGGACTTGGGCGATTTACTGGGCGTAGGGGAGGCGAGAATACTCTCGATGCTGAAGGGTTTACTGGCCATTGATGCCCGTCGAGCTAGCCCGTCTCTCACGGTGTTGGCAGTAACGATGTACGCTCTGTTCTCCTCGTGTAGTGTTTTGGGAGGTATCAGTGATGATTCTGATGTAAGGATGACACATTCAGTCCAGTTTTAATGACTCGATGTCTCCCGGAATCAGTCTCGTAAGGAGGTCGGGAACGGTTACGACACGGCCGTGGTTGATTGGCCCAAGTGCTGCCGTGCTGGTCTCGTCAGTTGGTCTCGTCGCTCGTGTACACCAAGCTTCCCGGGAAGAACTAATTAGCGATAGAGCATGTGAGGATGCGCACGTGGGAATATAAAACAAAAACAAGTGGGATGGTCCGGGGGTTGGTAAAGCACGAATCAGAGACAGATCTGGTGAAACTGTAGAAGACCCAACAGCAGGCTGATGCGAACAAAATGTAATTGGTGGCCGCGTACCACCACCGAATTAATTTAGCTCTGAGCAGAGGGTTCACCTGTGGGTTGAGTGTTAAAGGTTGGCAGGTTTTTCCCTTCTATTTTTGTTGTGTCGTTTTGTAGAAGAGTGATGTGCTGTCCTCCCTTATAGCCCGGGGGTGATGGGATGATGTCACTGCCTAGCCCAGAACGCACCCATCCGAAACATCCAAAGCCTGGCTGGCGCCGAAGACCGATTCGGATAATAATATCTTAATAAAGATACTGTGGAGGGGTTAAATGGGCGACAGAGGGAACAACAGCTACGTCAATGGGCTGGAAGAATGGACGATAGGATTAAAGAATAGACGGTAAAGATACGGCTCCTCCCACTCACGTACTCATCTATCCATGTCCCTGTTGCTTTGAGTCCCGTCTCACAAAAGAAACATTACACAAAATCCCCAACAATATCACACCCTCAGGACTATTTTATTCACCACAGGTAATATTTCATTTGGATCTATAAAAGGTTTTGTGGCAAGCGTTGAACTCATCAACAACGACAGAAAGATAACACATGATGCGGAGTTTTAAACCACTAAAAACAAACAACTTCTGCTAAGCGCTTTTGATGGGAGACTGACGGGTGTTTTACAACTTTGAAAATGCGTCAAAGTAGATGCATGGCATTTTCCTCTCATTCCAACTGATAGCATACTATCATGCATGTTAGGTGGACTGAAGGCCTGTCTTCGATCTCACTCGCACTCAGCCCTAAACCCTATACATAATTGTAGATCCTTTTGCTGCCTTAATTTGTGTTACTTTTCATTAACCCAGTAATAGAGGCAGGAATTGTATTGATTTAAAGGCAAGCTATTACCGCAAATTGCCTGAGCAGATAATCAAAACTGTTGATTTAGCCCCCTTTGTTATACTGGAGAGCTATATGGTCAACCCCCTACACACACCCCACCACCTCTCGAAGGGGGACGACAAGCCCAAAAGGGAGAAAGACATTGCGTCGGTGTGGCTTGGGTCGTAAACAGGGAGGGCGGGCTGGGCCCATTACTAAGTGAGCAACCGACGCAGTGGGTCGAATAGCGCATTACCATGTGAATCGCGGTGAATGGCTCGAGACCGTAGCTTGATAGCCTGACTGTCTCCTCTATTATCCACACTGATCGGTGTTCTTTCACAGCATCATTAGGCCCATCATCTAACAACAAAGATGAGCCCTAGCTGGGGACCTGGAGGGCCCGACTTGATGTCTGGGTAGGTGACCATGTACTCCCCTGGTTTCTGTCTATTATGTGGCGTCTGGCCAACGTATAGCACACGGAAATACTTTCAGCCAATCACAGCTTCACTTTGTCACAAGTGAAATCAACTCACCACTAGCTTTAGCCTATCGTCTGTTAATTGGGCTCAGTTTACTCGGAAGCATCGTCTTTTTTCTTTTCTTGTTTTCTCTGTCTCTCATTACTAATGACCAGAATGTCGATCTGTGTGGTTATTTTTGAAACAAGCGAGCGGCGATTTCGCGGCTTCCTTGATTGGCCAATGGATGGCCACGTGAGTCATGTGTTTCAATGTAAACACCCTATCGACGAGAGTTGCAAACATGGCAAGGCGCAGTGAAGTCAGAAAGGTTTTTTAATCTCTGGTCAGCCTAGACTCTTCTCAAGATTGCTCTAGCGGCTTGGTCAGTGCAGTTTACACTATATGTTCAATCCTCAATACTTTCTAAAACACGGGCCCTCGTCTACATGGATTTATACTCCAGTAAGACTCGAGGGACGTGTATAGTTGGGTCTAATAAAACATTTGAAATAGCTCGAAAAGAACTGAAATGTTATACCCAACGATAAATGATCAAACGAAAACTTCATAAAGACATGGGTTTTTTTAATTTCCGCCTCTCCCCATAAACCAACTGTTATATCTTTTGTCAAGCCAGGCCATATTCTCTGTGGTCACCGTTAGCCAATGCTAAAATTACAATCAACGAAAACATGTTGCCGTGGTTATTATTTTTTTGGCCTTGTAATAGCTTAATAATGAGCATGTTCGAAGTCATCAAAGCCTTACAGACGATTGGTCAAAAGGGTTCCTTCTGAACGCATGTTTGTTTTGTAAAGCGTGTATTCAGGAAATATTCGTAATATTCGTGTAAAAAAGAGTTTCGGTGCACTAATGACGCAAATCGGCTCCGGGGGTAGGGAGTTGTATGTTCTCGAAAAAATATGACTTTTTTTCGCGATAAACAGAATGACGTCACGCTTTGTTTAGATTGGCGCTTTCTTATGGGAGCCAGGTGGGTCGAGAAACATAGCGTGCCGTCATTATTTTTTCAGGTATACTGGCCTGTAATTTAGGTCGTTTTCACAAATCGGTTCCAGTGCCATATTCAATGTTGTAAAGGCTATTCATCTACCATAAAATTCATCAGTTACAGAATTTAGGATGACGCTAAAATCCATTGGATTTGTCTCCTCCAATCAAAAACAAATCATGACTGTCGATTCTGTCTCTTAAATTGAATAATATAGACTGGCAGTTCTTAGAGTTGACAGTCATTATCCATGTCATCATCAGCAAGTGTCATGATTGCACTTTTGTTTATGATTGAAACGGCTTCCAGATGCGGCCGTCTAATCAGTATAGTGATAGTTTGCTTCACACCTTCTTGAAAACCAAATCATGGTTTTATTACTGCGTTGTACTGGCAGCATTTAACACCGTCCCGATGCTGTCTGGTACAAAAGGGTGTCAAACAGCATCAAGAGCGCTCAACTAGATTACTGGTTATTATGACATGATGTGTAATCAGTATGTCGGAATATGTCACCCGTCGAAAAGATCTTGGGCGATGACATGTCCGCTTTCTGATTTCGCGGAGGTGTTACTAAAGGGCTGGCTTCATCCGTCAGGTAGCCGTATCGGGCGGCGGACCTGTACGCGGTCATCAACCCTCTGCTTACTCCCAGCGGACTTGTCAGACACTATACGCGTCAGTAGGTCCATGTCGGCTCATCCATCACTGAACAATAACACTACCCCCCAAATCGGCAGAAGTCTACCAAAAATGGGTCAGTACATTAAGGGAGCAGTGGGTTACACACCGACGCGGCTGGCCGGGTTCATTGTGCACCGTCTGGTATTGGCGTCGGCACCGCTTACCCGCTTTGTCAGATCTCACGGCCGATCTGCAACAATTTACCAGAAGAAAAACCACTACAAAGAAAGAAAAGCGTGTACAAATACTGAAAAAACCTCCTCCTTGAGCAACAACACACAAAGCAAACTATTTCGCCTTGTTCATAGGCTTTGAAATGAGGGTAACTGCGTGTACACAAACTAACCATCTGCCGACAACCATTCTTGCATGCAATCGTTCCCCTCTCTGTCAATCATATTTTTGAAGGGAAATGATGGATGATGATGGCATTAGGCATTTTAAGTGTCCTACAACAATTGGATGATCGTGGCAAGCAATGTGAATAAATCATGGGTGACAAACGGCGGACATGTTTAAACAGTGGCCGAAGGTCCTGCTGATGCACCGTAGACGCCGTGGTAGCCTGAACTTCCTAATGCATACACAGAGGCTAAAAAGTGAACGGTGTTGCGTTATGAGGCGACATGTTGTTAACCACAAAATACGTTTTGATGTGTAAATAATAAAGTGGCCCTTGATGGCGTTTCGTTTTTCTTGCAAGTTACTGGTGTCGAAGCTTACTTTGGATACTCCACTATTAAACGCACTTGGGCATGGTACTTGTGGTGTTACATATCTATCTAAGTGTTTGCTCTTCCCTTCCGAACCCCCCCCCCCCCCCCCTGAAAAAAACTAGCAATAACATGTGTCAGGAAATGGAATCAGGCGCCGAACCTGGGCCCACATAGGTCTATAGACCTTACTTTTTTCCTAAAACCATATCTGATAACCACTCTAACGAAATAATAAATTATCTTCTGCTAATGTTCCATTTGTGAGCTGAAATCATCATCAATGGCCACTTTGAAATGGCACATTGAAAATGAGTTCCATGGGGACATGACAACACTGCAAATAGTGTGAATGGTTTGAGAGGAATGGAGCGGTATTGCGAGACACTCTATATGGCCCTATCGGTTCATATACGGCACTCTCGTGTAGGGTGGGAGTAGGTGGCGATCTCGCAGGGGACAACAGGTGTCATATTTATTGCACTACTTTAATGGGTTTTGATTTCATCTCAACGGGGACGATTTCGCGGCAATTCAGTCAGGCCTGATTTGGTATCTGTCATAATGCTGAGGGTCGGTAGAAGAGAACAACTTACGGCCAGATTACCACTGTTAATGTTGATGATGATATGTTGATGATATGTCAATGTTCATGTTGTTAATGATAATGCATTGGAAATTACGTACTTTTGTCCAAGTAATGGCGTATATATAGTTATCCTTATTAACTATTTACTGGTACATCCTATTATCACTTTAAAGACGAACAGAATGACCAAATGATGTCGTAAAATGTGATGTTATTCACAATTCATATAAAAAGGTGTGGTATTTTTTTTATACAAAACTTATGGTCCACTTATAGGATGACCAACGACCGACCGGCCGTTGCTAATTCGGAAAGCGCTGGGGAAGCCAGATGAACCTCAGTTGACGCCAGCGCACTCTTCACCCTTTCTATTTTCTTTCTTTTAATTAACATTCATCTGTGGAGGGAAAGTGGGGTGCTGTGGTCCAGTGGTTACGGTGTTCGACTCGTGTGCCGTGGTACATGGGTTCGAATCCTGACGGGGAACATGGTGCTTGTGCGCTTGGGCAAGATACTTTACTACGATTGCCTCTCTCCACCCAGGTGTAGTAAATGGGTACCTGGTAGGAAGCAATTCTTTCAATGCTTGTATGAGCGCCGTAATGACAGCCGTGCTAAAGCCAGGGTATAATAAGAGTGCCAGGAGCGTCACTTCGTGAGCGCTATACAAGAAACCATTATTATTATTAACTATATCAACGATGGATAAAAAACTTTGAGTACGGTGAGGAGGTTGAGGAGGCACCGTGCACACCCCTCCCTCCAAGTATGAAAGGATAATTAAATCCATCATTAGTTCCACCGTGTCTGAGAACCAACATCATTATCAATGATTTCCATGCATAATGCACGATATTAAAATAAATACCTTAGAACTAACCCGTGCTTTGTGAGATAACCGAACGGACAAAATGGAAGCAAAGCAAATGATACTATAGACCTACTCTTTAAAACCTTTTCATCATGATTTTTGCACTTGTTTAGAAATGTACGATATCTATAGCAACCAGTAAGTTCCATTTTATAAATCTTGTTATATTCCTGTCTGTGCGGATTTGTGTCCATCTATCAACGAGGTAATGCATTAGTCGCATTTGATCAGATCTTTATTAGGTCTTTCAGGGTCTTCACCGTCAACAGGAGCCCCGTCCAAGAAAATCTTAAAAACTGAT